TTATATGTAATTTTACAATTTACATATTTTTGAATATTTAAAATTATTTTTTTATCCAAATGATTATTTAAACCACAATAAATCACAAAATAATTATGTAATTGAATAATAATAAATATTGAACTGCAGATGACACATAAGCAAAGTTGGGAATGTAAATTACTGTATGCAATTTTACAGTAAAACGTCCAAAATGTGACAATTTTTTCCGGTGATTTTTTTTAAAGGTGTTTACACACTTCACTAGTTTTCGGTTTTATTATAATTTATTCATCATTTTTCTTCATACCATTAGGGAGTTTTCAAAAATTACGTAACATTTTTTGGGGTGGGGGGGGGGATCAAGCACTTTGTTACGGACAGCATAAAAAATGGCGCTAATGTATGCAATAACGTGTTACATGGGGAGGGGGGGGGGTCAAAATTAAAAAAAAAAACGTTACGTAATTTGTAAACGCTCCCTTATATTTTTCAGAAATAATAATATAATTTTAAATTCTCCGCCAAAAAATCGTATCTATTTTTTCGGCATTTCGAAAACTATAGTAAGGTGTGTAAACACCTTTATAAAATTCACCGGAAAAAGATGTCACATTTTGGATTACTTACTGTAAATTGCACATAGTAATTTACTTTCCCAACTCTGCTTATGTGTCGTCTGCAGTTTAATATTTATTATTATTTCTACCAACATACCATTGTTATTTTAATTACATAATTATTTTGTGATTAATTGTGGTTTCAATAATCATTTGGATTAAAAAATCAAATTTAAATATTCCAAAATATGCGAGTTTTAAATTCACCTTTAATATATTGTGACAACCATTAATACAGCTTAGTGTATTCTATACTTTATCTTCAAAAAAGTACTTTTTTTTATTCGATTTTTTTATTTTATTTATTATGATTTTTTTTATTTTGTACTATATTATTTATAAGAATGTATTATATGAAGCAATTTTTATACGTTTCTAAAAATATAAAATATTTCTGTTAAACTGGAAATTATTTCATGTACATTTGCCATTTCATTTTGTACATATATAACTATAAAAGTAATCTTTAGTCTGTACTTAACTCAACAATGGAATTACATCTCACATATATAGTTAAATCGTAAAACATTTAATATCTTTTAAAGGACAAAAGGGAAATAAAAATTTCTATACATTTTGTACTATTTTCTTATAAGAACTTTCTCAATTGCATTTTAAACATATAAGAATTATTATTACCTATTACCTATTATTATTATTATTATTATTATTATTATTATTTTCTTTTCATAAAATTGAAAATCAGATTTGGCGCTTAAAAGTAATTTGGAGTTGTAATTTAGGTCAAATTGGTAATTGACTCTTTTTTTTTGGCAAGCTAAATCAAAAGCAATTTAGAGACCTATATATATAGTTAAGAACTAAATGACTTAATTCCGTACTTTTCTTAATGACATCTAATTCATTTCTGCGAACAAGTACGATCTTTATACTATTGAAAAGCGATAATACTGTTGGATGTGAATTAATTACGTTGAAGTGCATGCAGATAAAATTAAATCAATAAAGGACAATTTATATGAATGAGATAACTTATATAAAGTATAGTACGTAACTTTCAACCGTTCTTTAATCGAACACTTTTAGAATGTTTAATTTTATATATGAGGCAAAATTACTGAAGTGATCCAATTAAAAAAAAAAAATTCCTTAGATCGGGCTTAGATATTAATTAATTAATATCTCAAAAAAAAACGACATTTTGTTTAATTTCATTATTAAAAGTATACATTTTAAGGGGTAGAAAAGACAAATAAAAAGGGTCCTTTTTTAAAAAAAAAATTCAAAACTATTTTTGATTTTTTAAAAAAGGGGTAATTTTGAATTAAAAAAAAAATTTAGCACCATTCGAAAGAGCAGAAAAAAAAATGTTCGAAAACATATAGGTCAAAATTTTTTTCATCCTTTTATACAATAGTTATTATTTTTCAAAAAATTCAATGTTCACATTTTATGTTTATTGTATTTATTCAGTGCGTTCATTTGTTATACGACTTATCTAAAAAAAAGTAATATTTCATAAATATATATATATATATATATATATATAAAGTTTTTCAAATAAATAAATAAAAATAACAAAAAATTGTATTTTCAAAAGAACATTTTTTTGTAAATATAAAAATTGATTATATATAGGTATAAAAAAACTGCATTAAAATATGAATAGGTCATTCTCACAAAAAGGACAAATGACACGTTCACACTGCAAAAATAAGTAACTTATTTGGTATATCTACAATAAGATGTAATATGGAAAAATAGTATCTTCCATCTTAAAAAAGATATTTTGTAAAGTATTTTATTAATATTTAAGATGCTTTTTGAGTTTTAACAAAAATGAAAATATTTCTTCCATCTTAAATTGTAAGTTACTTCGGTAAGTTTCTATAAGTAACTTGAATTAAGATATTTGTGGGGTCATAAGATGTTTAGAAAAAAGATGCTTGTAAATTCTAAGATAATACGTCAGAATTTTATATAGTTTATATAGTGTAAAAACTCCCCTTCGTTACCGTTCGGGAAGTAACTTTTATTTAAAGAAGAATTATTGCATTCATACTGCAATAGGAAAATAATAATTGAGAAATGAAGAATTTAAAAGTGATCACTAGTCACATCCATCGATTATAAAGCCTCATGTAAAAAAATGCACCTGCAAAATTTCAAGATGAGCTGATTACGAATCTAATGACCGTTTTCAAAAATTCAAAATGACGGATCCAATATGGCGGTCGACAATTTTAAAAATCCATCCAATTTACTTGAAAATTGTTACTCGGGTGACCTTCAGATTTGTGTTCACCGACCTTGAAAACCCCTAATTAACGATTTTGAAGACAATTTTGAATTTTTTAAAACTGATTCCAGATTCGTAATCAGCGACCCCAAAAAACCCCCAGTAACCATTTTCAAGTAAATTGGATTGATTTTTGAAATTGTCGTCCGACATATTGGATCCGACATTTTAAATTTTGAAAAACTAACACCGGATTCGTGTTCACCCTCGAGTAACAAGATTTAATCGGATTCGCACTGCAAAAACTAGCCGTCTTAAAAGTGCAAAAAACGTCTTGTTTTAAGACACATTTGGTGTCTTAGACGCGAAAAACGTCTTAAAACAAGACGTTTTTTGCACTTTTAAGACGGACAGTTTTTACAGTGCGGTCATTGTATAGGCGACAAAATATTAAACAATTAATTTTTAAACAATAATGTTTATTTATAAAGATCGTAACAACGTATTTTAGAGACTTATTTAGGTCCTTCTCTTCACATAGCAATAGTCATAACAGTTGTTTTGAACTTTTTTTTTTTTTTCTTAATTCAGCATTTGTTCTTTTCGAGAGATTCACCCGAATGCATTAAAACATTAAATAAGAAGATTCTTTTTTTCTGGATGCATTTATTTTTGAGCAAATTTCATCGTCAATTTTTATCATTCTTTTTTTGCGACAGCAATAATATAATCGATATGATATCATTAAATTTACAGTTTTTCTTTTATTATTCCTGAACTTTTCAATATAACCTTCGTTGATCATTTCACATTTCTATTTTCCGTCATGTTTTAAAATGTGATTAAATATTATTTGTTCTCTAATATTTATAATTCTAATTTATGTTCTTCCTATACGAAAAATAATTAAATGCGCGTCATCTGTTTTTTTTTATTTACTTCAGTATTTTGTATCGAATTTGAAAAAAACAGACTAAAAAATCATACAAAAATTTTGTCTTATTCCTTATGACTCCCATAACAGAAATTCACTTGAATTTTTGATTTTTGTCAATTTAGTTAATAATAACAAGCTGTCCCCATTTATCCCAAAAATTTGAAAACTCAGGGTAAATGGTGACAGATTGTTTTTTATTATTTTTTCGTGAAAATACTCGATGTGAAATAGAATTTGGAAAATTGCTTTCGTGAAAAGTATGTGTCGGAAAAAAAATGATTTCGTGTAATTGCAATCTAAAAAAAACATCTGGTTTCTAATGTTTCTTTTCGTTATGTTATTTTTCGACCAATTAGATTCGAAAAGTTGATGTTTTAATATAACTGAAATAAGAATAAAAATTTAAAATTACTGTCTCCATATGAAACTAATCACAATATAGAAATAATACACTGAAAAAAATTTATTTGATTCAAATAATCGGTTACTTGATTATTATCAAATAAATATTTACTTGAACCTAAGTAATTTTTATTTCAGTCAATTAAATGTTATTTGTTTAAAATAAAAAAAGTTATTATTGGTTCAAATAAAAATTATTTAGTTCAAGCAAAAATATTTATAGTCAAGTAACCGATTATTTGAATCAAATAAATTTTTTTCAGTGTGCTATATTCAGCAGTTAAATATATATGTTATTTTCCACTAAATTTATGTAAGATATTTTTTATCTTTTTTAATTTTTTTAAACTGTCATAATTGGAGCTTTAAATAAAATTTTTGTCATAAAGCAAATAAATTCAATGATTAGATAACACGAAGATATGAAAATTCTCTCTCTATATATTTGGAGAATCTTCCATAAAAGGTTATATATGTATTTTCATAAATCAATTTATCATAAAATATTATATAATTGAAAGTTTGTTGAAATTTTATGAGTATAATCCGACTCGCAATGAATGTATGTATAGAATAATAATGGCTGTTGAAAGAACATGCAGAAACTTTAACGCAGTAGTAAGTGGTCGCTTTAGTCGGACACCAGTAGAAGTGTCGTCTATATAGATATAGTCGGGAAGTAATAATAATGGTTCTCACTCGGATGACTCGTACACGGCTCGTTTAAGCTTCAACACTGATATTTCACATTTATACTAAGAGTGTTGCAGCATATGCACCACATTAATGTTCATTAACTCAACGACTTACATTTAGACATATATATACACATGTATATATATAAGTATATATTTCTGTGCAGGATTATTGAGAATGTGAGCGGCTAATACAGTGCAGATGCCCAGCAAGGCTTGGCCTCGTCGAGAGTGGTCTCCTCAATCTCCTATAGATGTCTTGTAAGTAAATCCCTATAATTCACTCATTCTGCTTATTAATATATTTTTATCACTTAAAATCAATTTCCATATCAGACATACACGGAAAAAAATTTTCTGGTAATTCTTTAACATCGATTTGAAGATTTTACATGTTCCTAAATCTGTTAATTCTACAGATATTTTCTGTAAGGATTTAACGCATGCGCGAAAACAATGCAGTGATTCGACTAAGGCTGAGTACGATTGAGTGCGAGAGGTTAAGGCGAATTTAGTGTTTTTATTATTATCATAGTGTCGGCAAGAAAGTTTAATTAAAAAGGAAACGTCTTAAGTATACAAACATTATTATAGAAATAAATTATTACAAATTTTTTATTTTAAAATTAACTGTAGTGATTAAGTGAGAAAAGTCGTTTGTTTCAATTTCTCGACATAAGAAAAAGTGGATTTATCATAAGTTTTGAAAACTTGCTCCTCATTTTTTTTGTTAGAAAATTATTGAAGGATGAATTTATTTACATAGAAGTTATACTAATTTATACAATAATGTTCCGCGAATTTAATGTATTCGGAGGAGAATATAACCTATAAGAAATACTCTACCAAATATATATTATCCCCATATAGTATACATAATTTGGTCACTCAACAGTTTTTGAGAACTGTAGCTCAAACTTGTAGAATTAACAGATTTTAATGCCAATGATTCTACAAATTTCTCTATTTGGAGAAACATCAGTAGATGGCGCAGGAGTTTCTGTAAATTCTACAGAAAATTTCTTTCCGTGTAACAAAATAAAAATCTTAGTTTTTATATTTTCATACTGAACATGTTATTTTATAAAGTAATAAATCTTTATTTTAATATTAATTCAAACATCTTGAAGAAAATAATATTGTTTATTAAACATCTAGGGTAAGTGAATCAATTACTGCTGATGCTCCAATTACTACGATTTCTATAAAATTAGTAAAACCCAACCTCTAAATCAACAAGAAGCTGAAGTACGCAACGTTTATGATAAACGATTTTTAAAGAAATAATTTTTTTAAAATGAAAAATTCTATAATTTTTCGCCTGAAAAATATTTCTTGTAGTTTTCATTAAGGGCATCCGAGGGGAAAATAATGGTTTTGTAGATTTCTTCTCATTTGAAAAAAATAGAATATTTTAGGTTGTAATTTTTTGGAAATAATAGAGGAAGGTACCCTGCCAGGGGCTCTTCTCGGAATTTTGCATAATCTTGATAAATAATTATTGAAAAAAATGTTTAAACATTGGCAAAAAGGGGTTTCGTAAATTTCTTATCATCTTTAAAGGATAAAGTATTTCGAGTTGGCATTTGGAGGAATAATAGAGGAAGGGTCACTGAGTGGGGCTCTTCTCCATTTTTGCAATAATATTGTAATTTGGGGTAAGTTAGTTCAGCAGCGGCCACTAGCTAGAATTGCTGGCGCCACATAGATTCAATGTCTATCCCCACTTCTGTCAAAAATCCAACTTTTATAACCACGATTTTCAATACTTTTCAACAAAATTACTTGTAAAAATGGAGATGATTCTTAATCAGCTTGCCCTCATCTAATTAATCCGACAAATCCGAACAAGATAATTCAAGTTATTTACGAGTAATATCTCGCGCGGGAAAACACTTTTAGGTTAGGGATTTTTCCCGGATGGCCTTAATCAATAAATTATTAAAAAAAAAATATTTTTTAGGCAAAAAATTATAGAATTTTTCATTCACCTTAAAAAATGTAATCTTCATTCTAGAGGATTCCTCTAAATGTAATGCATATTTTCCTCTTAATTTTGGTATCAAAAGTAATAATCTTAATTTAGAAGGATTTTCCTCTCGAAAAAATCCTCTTAAAGGAAGAATAATATTCTAATATTTTGACAAGTTGAAAATAACCGTAGTACACAGGTTTTGAATAAATTATTAGACAATAATAATGGTTATGTATTGATAATAAAGTACAGTTTTGACACATTGAATTAAATGTTGATATCAAAACCTCAACAAAAAAAAATTCCTAGTGTTATTAATGTCAAGAGAACCAATAATTTTTTTAAATTTGAACAATATAATAAATATTTAATAAGATTTAATTATTTACATTCAAAAAAAGGTAAATTATAATAGATTCCTGGAATAAAGAATGAAATATGAATTAATGAATGAAGATTCATCGAGAGGTTATATTTTTTGTATTTATACCTCCATTCAATATATCCACCCAGATTTAAATCATTTAGTAAATCTTCGAGTCTCTTTTCCATTTTGGTCTTTCGATTTATAACACAACACTATTATATGACAACTAGAGGGGCTTCGCCCCCCTGCGCGCTTCGCGCGCCAACCCCCCTATTTTTGGCGGGAAATACAGAGAGATGAGGGAAGGGGGAAGGACTTACTGCTTTATTAGGGTCTTAAAACAAACATAACCTCAAAATTTAGGTCAATTTTTGGCGGAGGAGGGGAAATGAGAGGAGGTAGAAGGACTTGCGGCTATATTCAGAGCCTTGAAACGAACATAACCTCAAAATTTAGGTCATTTCTGGCGGGGGAGGGGACTTGCGGCTATATTCAGAGTCTTGAAACGAACATAACCTCAAAATTTAGGTCATTTTTGACGGAGGAGGGGAAATGAGAGGAGGAAGGGGGACTTGCGGCTAAATTCAGAGTCTTGAAACGAACATAACCTCAAAATTGTGGAGGGGGGACCCCCCCTCCTAGGTCAAGAATTCTTGAAACAGCGGCGGCGGAGGCGGCGGTGGCGATATCTTTTTGTAATATAGGAAGAAATACGAAAATTGACAGTTTCGAAAAACAAAAGCGCAAATGTCAAACAGGAAAAAAATGTAACTTTTCCTTTTTTCAAATACCGTGGTTGTCCCAGTTGCCGTCCACCTAAGACCTAGTTTCCGTCCAGTTTAATTTTCAAAATAACATTTATAAAAAAATTATTTTCTTTTATTTGTTTACTTTAACTAATAAGTCGATTGCGTGCCAAAAGGAATAAATTATTATTGTTAAAAAATAATTTAAATTACTATACGAGATATTTGTAAAATGGACGGAAACTGGGACATGGACGCACTGAAAAAAAAGTTCTGGTTAAAGTTACTAGATGCGTTTGGTTAAAAAATTTCTAGTTATTTTAACAAGAAAATATAGTTAAAAAGACTAAACAGTTCTAGTTAAATAAGTATGGTTAAATTATTCTGGTTAAAATAATTCTGGTTAAAAACGCGCGTTCGCGGACACTGCATAGCGTCTGTTGTTCTTTTTCGAATAGTTTATCGTGCGGATCGCAAGAATGGATGAAAAAGTTAACCAAGCTCTGGAAAATTGGGGTTTGGGAGAATTAAAAGATCTGTTTAAAGGTTGGTTAATTAATTTTATAATATAAGTGAAAAAATTGTTGACGAACGGCAAACCCGTTCGTGTGGAAAATAGTTTGAAGGTTATGTTGAAAACGTGCTTGACACGTTTTATCAGAATTTTAGTTCTGAATAATCATATTTAAATAAACATTATTAAGAGAATTGCAGTGTAAAGGTGTTATTGTTTGATTGCATTTATATGTACATAATACAAATTTTTTTAATTCATATTTTATAATATTTTATAATATAATATAATAATAATAAATTTAATTAATTCTCTGATTAACTAGAATTTCTGGTAAGATCAACCAGAAATTTTTTTACCAAAAATTTTTAACTAGAAAAATTCTAGTAAGATTAACTTGAAATTCTGGTAAAATTAACCAGAATTTTTTAACCAAATTTTCTAGTACTTTTAACCAGAAAAAGTAGTAAGGGTATATATAACTTTTTATTCTGGTTAGATTAACCAGAATTCTGGTTATTTTAACCAGACTTTTTTTTCAGTGCGGTAACTGGTACATCCACGGTATACTAAATTTAAACAGGAAAATCGCAATTGAAGAGGAAAATGCAAAAGTACTCCTTTTGTCATTGTTCCTTTACAACAAAGAATAAAAATATTCTACAATGAAATGGAATATTCGTATTTTAAGAGGAAATATTCAGAGGATTTTAGAAGAGGAATTTTCCTCTAAATTTAAGATTACTTTTTTTTGGGTGTTTTAAAAAATTATTTCTTTAAAAATCGTTTATCATAAATGTTAATATTTTATCATTAAAGTCGGTCTTGAGTTGTATATATCACAGTAGTTGGGACACTTACCCTAAAACAAAAATTAAACAGGCACACACAAAAAAATTCATGTTCTGAGCTCAAGCTCAAACCATGACTACTTTATGTTTTTGGGGTCGCTGAAACTGAATCTGAAGTCAGTTTAACACCATCACGTCAGGTATTTGACATAACCTTAAAAAATCACAAAATTGACGTCAGACTTTTGAAACTGACTCAAAAAACCTCAAAATTCGTCCTCAAAATTTTAAAATCAAGAAAAATTCGGATAAATAAGTCTTACCATGTTTACTTTATGCTTTTAGTGTCGCAGAAACCAAATCTGAAGTTTATTTAACCCCATCACGTCATTTTTTGACATAAACTTGAAAAAATACCAAAATTTGATTTTTTAAAATATTTTTTTCTATGGTATGTTAAAACCCTGATGTGATTGGGTTAAATAGACTATATATTTGGCTTCAACGACCCCAAAAACATAAGATAGACATGGTAAGACTTATAAATAAGATTTTTTTTTATTTTTAAATTTTTGGGTCAAATTTTGTAATTTTTTTGCGTTTTCTTCAAAAATCTAACGTGATGGGGTTAAATAGCCTCAAATTCGTCTGCAGCGACCACGAAAACATAAAGTTGTCATGGTAAGACTTATTAATCCGAATTTTTCTTGGTTTTAAAATTTTGAAGACGAATTTTGAGGTTTTTTGAGGTTATGTCAAATTATTCAAACGTAGTTATACGTTGTATTAGTAATTTTATTCAATAGTAATATTATTTTATAAACAATATTATACAATTTTTATAATATTACAAAAATTTTAAAAGACT